CAAGAATAATGATCACATGAAGATAGAAGTTTTCACAGATGTTGATTGGGCTGGGTGTGTTGATGATCGAAGATCTACCTCTGGATATTGTGCTTTTGTAGGAGGTAACCTTGTCTCTTGGAGGAGTAAGAAACAAAATGTTGTTTCTCGTTCCAGTGACGAAGCTGAATATAGGTCCATGGCAAATGGTGTAGCTGAGATCCTGTGGTTGAGATCATTATTTGAGGAGTTAGGTATTGTTTATAAGAAACCCTTGATGTTGTACTGTGATAATCAAACTGCCATCAATATAGCCCATAATCTGGTACAACAAGACAAAACTAAGCATATTGAAGTGGATCGACATTTTATCAGAGAAAGGGTTRCATCTCAAGAAGTATGTCTTCCATACATTACCTCCGACATGCAGCTGGCAGACCTTCTCACCAAGGCGGTTTCAAGGAAGAAGTTAGAAGCAGATCTATGCAAGTTGGGAATGACAAACATTTATTCCCAACTTGAGGGGGAGTATAGAGAACACTAATGTGGACCCCACTAAGGTGGTCCCCGCTGTTCGTATTGTCAGCAATAAGTTATGATTAGGATTAGTTCTTTATGATAAGATTAGGATTAGTCTTTTTTTCATCTTTACCTTATCTTATCTTATCTTGTTATCTTATCTTGCCATGTAAGCAATTCAATCCTTTTACAATTATGATACTATGTAAATAAATTTAAGAGGGGGGCGGTTGTTTAAACATATCAACCCAACTCTCTCTCTCTCTCTCTCTTCTCCCTCTTCTTTTCTTATTTTTTTTTCTTCTCCTTTTAAGTGTCTGTTCAATCTTGAGCGACTACTGCTTCTCTAGAAGAGGGAAAGCTCTTTAGAATTCACTTCCAATGGCAGTATGCTGGTCCATTTGGAAGGTGCAGAACTCTAGAATTTTTGAAGCTAAAGAGAAGCCAACGAGAATGTAATTTGAATCTCATTGTACAGGGGTTTATAGTGTTTATAACATAATGCATTACATTACCTCTTTCCAAAAAATGGCAGCTTATATGATGGGTGGGCCAGTGGGGATCCTAGTACTTTTTTGAAGGAGTTACTGAGTTAGGGTTGAGCATTTTAGAAATCAGTGGTACAGCATTTTGTATGGGCAATTGTATGTCTGTTGGCTGATTTCTTTTCTCATATTCTACACAGAATCACAGATACAACTGATACAGATGTAACGAGCTTGTGCAATTTTTGAGGGGCTCTCCCCCTCTGTATTAATACAAATATACCATTTATCAAGGAAACAAAATCTATCACTATATTCAGGAAAGTTCAATTGAACCTTGTTACTTCATGAACTCACTTGGGAACCACAATAGAAATTAGGCTTGGCATAAGGCATCGATGGCTTTTGAACAGGAACAGGGGAGACTTTTGATGACCGAATAAACCTTTGAGTAGTGTTGCACAAGATAAAGTTCGGCAAGAAATCATTCTGCAACTCTGTCCAAACCTGTAATCCATGAAAATCAAATATAACAGAGAAACAACAATGATTGGTCACCAGTCATAAAATGCTCAAAAGAAACATCCAATTCTCATAATCCACCCTAAAATCATATATTTGTAGAGAACACTGATGTGGTACCCACTGTACTGTACTCATATGACTATAGTCAGCAGTTAGTTGGTAGTTGGTAGTTATTTCAGTCAGTTTATAATTATTACTCTTTTATTTTTTCCATGTAAGCAGTAAGGGTATTTCAGCCCTTTTACCTTTATTTGAGAATTAATATAAATAGTAAGAGAGGGGCGGCAGATCTATTATCCTCTCCTTTTCTAAATCTCCCTTCGAATTCTTCTTCTCCTCTTCTTTTCTCTTCTCTTATCCTCTTCTCCTTTCTCAATTTTTCTTGCTAATTGAACACTAAAATCTAGGACTGATTGTAGTCTTATTCAACTACAATATTCTTATTCCTTTTTATTAGAAACATACCAATTACAATCTACTGAAAAATCATAGAGCATTTTATCTATGAAAATAAACTTATATAACATTTATGAATTGAATCGAACCATATATGCACCATGACCTTTTTTATTTTTTATATTTTGGATATGTTAGCTGGAAAGGATGTTATGGATGATTTGCAAGATTAGAAAAGACAATTAGAAACAACCTCATTGGAGAGGACTTAAAAGTACCCACAACTGATGAGAAGATGGAGGAAAGTCAACTGAGATGGTTTAGTCATCTGCATTGAATACCAAGGACTGCATTGATAACTAATGA